TACTCCATATTGCTTAAGAATATAGATCTTTCCTATGCTTACTCATTTCATACACAGTATGGCTTTATAAAAATAATTAGAAATATAACATTGGTAGTAAAATATGAAAAATAATTTGGTGTTCTCTATAGAACTCCAAAGCTGGTAAAATAAAATCTTTTTACCTCCCCTTATACTGTAAAATCTGTATTAACCAATGTAAATTCTTCAGCCTTCTATCATTACAATTAGACAAGATTGATGTAGGTTTTATTGCAATAGTTGAAGATATTTGATTTCCTAATTGTAATATCTACTAATACCCAAGTCAGTATTTCTGACATAAACTATGCATAGGCAGACAGATAATGTAGGTATCAGAAGGTCATGACTTTATAAACAGTGATTTATAGGAGATAGCATAATTTCTCTGCTATCATTTATAATTCAATATGACTGTATTTTTCTATTTTCTTGATTATTTTTGACTGAGAGGCTGCTGGTACTGCTCCTTTCATTATAAGCAATTTAATTTTAAACTATTAATTACCTTAACCTGGAATCATCATCCTTTTAAGAAATTTTATCCTATATATGTGTTTTATTAGTGAATTAATTTAAACTTACTTCTGTTAATCTGCATTATATAGTGTATAATAACACAGAAAGGTAATCTGGGCCTTTAATATATAAACGGGTATAAAATAAAATCTATGATTTTATGTATATGGCATTAGTGAATCTAGTGTGTATGCTCTTGAGTAATAGTTCTGTAGTGATTGTAGCCTATTTTTTCTTAAACTACAAGGTCTGTTTATCAGAACAGAATTTTTAAATAAAACTTCATTGTATACAATTAATGTTAGTGACTTCATTGTTTCTCAGTTTGTTCTATTTTCTCTTACTATTTTATTTCACTAATAAGAACCTATATCTGATTTCTTACAAACAATTCAGTGTATATGTATATGATTACGAGTCAGGCTGCTTACCTCAAGGTCAGCAGTTCAAAACTACCAGCTGTTCCATGGGAGAAAGATGAGGCTTTCTACCCTGTAAAATTCACGGCCTCAGAAACCCTATATGAGTCAGACCCAAAACCACTATGAGTCAGAACTGACTCCACAGCCCATAACCATCACACCATAGGAGACTTCAAAAATTATGTGGAAATCATATTACCTATAAATTCAATTATCCGTGAACTTTCAGAAATTCTCTATAAACTTTCTTTTCCATGAACTTTCAGAAGCCCTATTGTATTATATTTAGAATAAGAATGCTTCTAATGAATTTTGTATGAAATTATTTTAGTCATGTATTCATGGATAGGGGAAGGGTTATCATAAGTTACATGGAAAACATACATCTCAACCTATTCATCGTAACAACCCCAACAATGAGGTTGTCACACTGGATGAATATAAATATCCTTTCAATCAATTTATTGTTCATTAAAAAACAATAAAAGCACTCCATACTTGCCATTTCAGAGCTATTCCCAATTTCATAAACACTCTGAAATGTTTAATTGTGTCTTTCCAGCAGCACTGAAAGGGAGTGATCAGTTTGCAGGCTTCCTTAAAGAAATGCAGATTTCTTATTCTATAGCCAAGAGTGAAGGTACAGCTGAGAAGACATGTACATATATGTGTCTACTCAGATATTTCCCTAAAAACAGATAAGCCACCCCATCATGGTCTATTAAAGTATCCTTGTTAACACATTTGTTGAATACATTTACCATGACTTGTTTCAGTCTATGCCACCTGTAGCAAAAGGTATTTCTGTAACTGTATTTTAAGTAAGGCATATTAAATGTTTCCACAAATTTTGCATATTGGCACTTTAAGACTTATGTTATTAATATACAAATAGCATTACAATGTAATTGATATTTAAAGGATTAACTGTTAATTTAATACACATCTGTATAATTAACACCTACAATTTTCAACTTTACAAATATGTGACTCATATATTTATATGCAAATCCATATCAATACCTGTATCTATATTTATGTATATATGTATATTCATACCTAGGTTTCTCAAATTTGAGCTTTAGTCATTTTAGGCTGAAAACTGTGTTATAGTGGTTGTTGCCCTAAATACTGAAGAATATTTAATAACATACCAGTGCTCTAAATATTACATATTAGAAGGACCCTTCTTTTAGATATGATTCAAAATATCCAGACATTGACAAAAGGTCCTTTAGAACCACATTTTCCCAAACTGATAACCAGTTAGTTCTCTCCCTCTCTCCCTCTCTCCCTCTCACCCTGTCTGTCTTACTCTATATCTATACCTGTGTCAGTGTGCTTT